CAAAATTAAGGAATGACACCGATAATGACCATGCATCAGAACCCTAGTCTTAACCACTTCAAACTAGGGAACAACGAATAGAAGATTAGTAATCACATAGATGAAGACTAACTAACTCATTTTTTCCTTGTTTCAAGATCATCCTCGGTTCAGGCAACCCGATAACTTATCACTATCAACAAGGCATAAAAAGTAACAAGGACTAAGATGTGTTCTTTGGATTACTGAAAAGTCCTGTTCCCCTAGTTTGAATTAGTCACGACAAGGAATCGGTGGCAGATCTTACATCCCGTAACGTACCACGAAAAGGTGATCTACCCACGTTACGGAACAAGTATGATATGTGTTTTAGCTGCATTGATACAAATCTTCCAACTTTTGAAAAAGTCGGCCAGAACATCCAGACCTGATTGGAGTTTTCTTTGATGGCAGTGTCATGCGCAAACATTGACAAAATACCACCACCCGGAAGGGGAAGAACATCTGACGTGAAGGTGTTGAAGAGGAAAGGTCCAAGGAGGCTACCCTAAAGAACCGCAGAGTCAACGTTGAACGTATCAGAAGGAGAATTGTTCAAGAAGACATGGAATGATCTGTTGGGAAGTTGTATCGATGCAGCTTGTAGCTCCAACGCCTTCTCAACGTCCAACCATGCCATGGGGGATGTATTGGAAACGGACTTGTTCCGTTTGATATTGTTAGTAGCCCGTGCGAGTTGGTGGATGGTAGGGTGGCCTTTTCTAAGCCCAAATTGCTCTTTGAGAAAGATGTTATGAAAATACCAGCTGACGGTTGAGTATCAACTTTTCGAACAGCTTCGAGATGGAGGACAAGAGGCTGATGGGGCGATAGGTTTTGGCACTGGTAGGGTCTTTGCTAGGCTTGTGGAATGACTTTGACTAACCACCAAACACTAATTGAAGACCGCTGCAAGGTGCTTAAAGAAGTCAACACTCAAGTTTTTCAACTCAAGGTTGACCACTGCATCACACCAGTGACCTTCATGTTCTTAGTTGATTTAATGGTTGCTATCACCTCATAATGCCAGCCAATGTCGCATCAACATCGGGTTGGGGTTGGTAAAAGTCAGGTTGGAGTCGCGTTGGCTTAGCTTTTTCGTCGGAATGTCGACCAGAGCTCCGTTTATGTGTAGGTTACACTCAATTGAATTACATCAAGCGTTTCTCAAATGAGAATGATCCATGCCTTCGTCAAATGACTAAGCAACTGATATCACCCATTCGAAAAATTGTGTGTTTCATTAATAAATTTAACTCTCATGTTTTGTTTGCCTTCAAAATCATCGAGAAGTGGAAAGAAGCAAAAGTATTGTTTGTGCCTGTGCCTATGCCTGTGATATAATATTTTTTACGGCCTTAATACAAGAATATTTTTTTTTGTGGACTAAATAGGGTAGAGCGCTACTTCGTCGTAATCATCTATTTCCGTTCTATTGATTAGTAAAGATCAATAATATCAATGATTTCACCGTGAACAAATCAATAATAGGTTTGTTCCGATGCGTTAGTTCATTAGCTACAACATAAACCCTGTTAGAGCGCAATGTATGAATATTTACGCTCATGGTTCTCAAAACAAAAGAAGCGCTCCTAGTAAATCTCCCTTTTCTGCGTTTATCCGTAGGACGAAGAAAATCTAATGGCGTTTCAATGCGTTAGGAAGGAATTGAAACTCGTTGAACGAATTTAAAATCAAGAAGCAGTATTAGACTTTAAACAGTATCTCAACAATTTGTGGCTGTTTATCAAATCCAGTATGGAAAGGTGACTAAATTTAGAAGTTATCTTTGACAGAAATGTTACATTTTGACGTTGGATAACGTCTTTCGGCAACATACGGGGGTACAAAATTGAAAACTGTCATTTTGGATGCGTTACGAAAAATTAAAAGATTTTGAACGATAATAACTCAACCGTCTCTCGATAGATTTACGAGATAATGGCATCAATCGATTGGAAATATTTCTAGCAATTTGTTAAATGTTTCAAAACTATTGATTTCGATCTGTAAACTATTGAAAAATTGTTAAAAGTAAACCATTGTCTAAAGATGGTGAAAATCTATTGATTTTTTTATATTTTTATACGTTCTCCAACCAAGACATCAGATGCGAGTATCTGACACCTCTGATATTTTCTGTTCTACTATATAAGCGTCCAACAAGGTCGCCCGTTCCATCATTGTCTATCCGATCGTCGACCCAGCAGCAGAGCAGCAGAGCAGCAGTACCAGAGCAGCGGAAGCAGAGCAACCGCAGCAGAGCCTGGGGGCGAAAGGGCAACTACGCCGAGTGCGTTGGTGCCAGTGCTCCGGTATACTGGGCCGCCGTCATGGAATGCCCAGCTGCTGCAGTTCTCAGTCGGTCGTATTCACCGTCTGCTCCGCAAGGGCAACTACGCCGAGCGCGTTGGAAAAATGGCCCTTTTCAAGTCCACAACATTATCAAGAAAGAGTTTAACGTACGTATGCGAGTATCTGACACCTCTGATATTTTCTGTTCTACTATATAAGCGTCCAACAACGTCACCCGTTCCGTCATTGTCAACAACATCAGCCCAACAAAACGGCCCTTTTCAGGGCCACCAAACTTTCGCAAAAGAGTTATTAAGGAATATTCCTAAAATATAATATACACAATTAAGTACAACACATAACAGACGTTATCCAACGCCAACCCTGCGGTCGTATCTAGTATACAACCCTTCCAACTTTTTTTTGTTAAAACTCGTTCGAAAAAAAGTAAAGTGCTGGTTGTGCTTAGGTGCTTAGGAAATAAGATCAAAAACCCTACCGGCGTGAAGAAATAGTTTTGGCGGCCTGATGGGGATTGGTCATCTAAACACCGCCGGCAACTTACCCGGTGTCAGCGATCTAGTTGGTGCTGGATAAATACGGTGATGTGAAGCATGTCATTCGGGAGAAATCCTCTGTGGACTGAGACCTTGAAATGTACACAGGTGTACGGGACGTAAAATTCCAAACTCACTGCATTTCCTCAAACGGAAGAGTACATATTCAAGGCAACAAAAACTTGTGCTTTTTTATGTAAGATAGAGGGGCATCTGATGCATTCCTGACCCAAGCGGAAGTCCGGAACCTAGAACGGACCGATACATAGAGCAGTATCAGTACGTACTCTGGTGTAGTGACTGGAGGTGAATCGTCAATGGACAACAATAAAATTTAAAGACACAGAGGAAGCGATGAAGGTGATGGAAGAAGAGGTGATAGAAATGGATGTGATGTCCCCGGATGACGAGAAGAACAGTGGAGAGGAAGCAAACGATGTCCAGAAACAGCAGCCACCAGTTTTAAAGCATCGAAACGACGCGTACTAGGTAGGGCTTATCCCAAGTAACAATATTAAATTAACTATCTCCTTGAAGAAAGCTTATAGTTCAATCCATTAAAACCAGGTTTAAAGCTAAACTATCTCATAAACCGTAATAAAACCTTCTTACAACACTTACAAATTCAATTTGGCCCACCCTACAAGATGTTGTCAAGACTTATATTAAAACTTTCTTAAAACTGGTTGGTTTTATTCAACGTGTATTTTTATGGTTCTAAAGACAACTTCAAAGCAGGCATAAGAGTTCATGAAGAATATATAGATTTATTCGATGCTTCTTCAAGAACACTTGAAGAATTTAAATTTACTTCGTGAAAAATGGACCGCTGTGTGATTCATGAATCAAATCTCAAATAAAACTGAATGCAGCTAAAATTATCTTGGATCGTTGTAATTTTTGATGGCCATTTCAGATATTGTATGAACAATTTTGAGTGATGAATATACTATAGCTTCAAGTGAATGGGAATCATTAATTTTTGTACATATTGAGCATTTAATTTTACTGCCCTGTTAAATTTACTGTTAATATCAACTATAAAATCGAAGATAAAAGCATATCGCCATTAAAATAATGCGAAATAGAAAGATTTAGAAATGATTAAATAAAAAAAATCATAAATTATTTTGATAAAAAATGACCGACAGAGTTGCAGTTACCTACCTAATAATTAATTTTGCAGTATTTTATTAAAAAATCAAGCTTTAATCGATATTTTATACAATATTTCCATTGAATATTCAATCGTGTAAGTATGGCAACGATCATTTGCATGCAAAAGCATCACCAAATCGCCATTATTTTTTTATTGACTTGTTTAAAATAATAATAAGTAAAAAACAAGATAAATTATTCTCAAATAAAATTATTTTGCGCTATACAAAACTATTCACTCTCCATTAAACAAACTTTAAAAATAATTGGTTTTATTCGAGGTTTTATAGAAATCTTGAATAAGAACACCCACCGTGCTGCGTGAGCAGCAGTTTGACAGCTGTTTATTTACGTTTGTACCTGTACGAAACTTTTTCTGCGCGTCGTCAGTTTTTTTCATTCAACCAGGTAATAATTCAGTTTTTAATGAGTTCAAACGAACACTAACTATGTTTTTTTGTTCATAGGATGCCTTTCAAGGTTGTGCAAACTATTGAGGGTGGAGAAACCTGGCTGAGTGTTGTTCCCAGTGGATACGAATCAAAAGGTATTTTACGCTGGCCCAAAAAGCACCTTGTTGGAAAGCTGTCGCAGGTGGAAACATCCGTGCCTGGAGAAAATAGGGAACGCATGAATTGTGTGAACAAACACCGAAGTGGAAGACCTCCAAGCGTTGCCGCCACCTGCGAAGAAAGTCAGGAATGTGACCAAAACTTCCCATGCATTTGTGCCTCCAAATTTCAATGCCTGGATTCATCCTTCATCACCAGCACCTGAGAATACACCAGCTACAGTTCAAAACGATAGTATCGTCTTGGAAACAATGGTTAGTATGGTGCTGTACAACATTTCTTAAAGTTTTGAACATTTTTCTGTTTTACAACACAGACAAGCGACCCGCAATTAGTGTATGTTGAGCCTGAATGCACTATTTCTGAGGGACAAGTTAATGATTCGTCACAAATCATTTACATGGCACTGGACAGCGAAACAGCTAGCACGGATGCTGCCCCTCTGAAGGCAGTCCTTGATAACCAAAAACGTATTTTGGAGAACCAAGCCAAGCAATTGCAGAGTATGGCTCGATTGCAGACCACTATGGATTATGTGATGGAATTGCTGACCAATGACGATCAACCACATAAGGCAGTTGGGTTAACGGAACATGCCACTGAAAACGTCGTTTCCCCTGTTTCCTGTTTGGACGAACTGAATGCATTGGAGACATTGTTGGGTGAAGAGAAACGAATGCAGCAATTTTTAACCGGAATGACCTTTATTTGCGCCAATAATGGAAAAGCTCATGGAATGGACTGCTGCTACAAATTGATCGATTACTTTTTCACGCGACAGTTTCTAACGCAGTGCTCATGGACAGGAGCAGCTAGACTGACTAATAGCAATGCTGAGCGACGTGACGGAGAACCATCGATGTCCAATGATGCTGGAGGAAAAGGATCGTTGAAATGTTTCAAGAAAGTTCGTAAACTGTTTTTAAATCTGATTCTGCGTGCAGATAGAGACTTTTCGGAAGTGAACTGCGAAAATTTTTTTAAAACGGTTTTGAAGAACAGCAAACAAATAACAATTTCTAAATGTCAAAACTCAAAGCATAAGAACCGACCAAAGAACTTAAAGTATAAATCAAGCAAACAAAACGATGAAAACCAAGCGAATCATAACTTTACTATTGAAGGTGAACATGTTGAGGAAGAAGAAAATTAATGATGTGTAATTAAAGATCCAACAAATAAAATGTGGCACAAAAATGTGAATGATGTGGTGTTTTATTTTACATTAATACCTGCAAATGTCTGACTAACATAAAGTATGAAGTGAACACTGTTCCTGTGTCTCTCAACGGTATTGCCACTTAATTGATGAAGGATCATATTCAGTTCTATTTGTTGTTTCACAGTTGGAATAGAAGATGCTCAAATTTCTAGACTGAATAGGTGTTTCAAAAAAGTCAGTTAATTTACGTCAACGGAAAACCAGAAAGCGCCAGCGTGTCGTTATGTTTTGTCGCATTCTCAAATAATCGGCAACTTGATGTTACTCACAGATACGTTTGGCAACTTGTGCCAATGGTTTATGCCCACTTCGAATCATATTTTTTATTTGATACAACTTACTTTCAAAGGGATATTCACTGAATTTGGAAAGAGCATCGAATCGTTTCACATCATCTACCAAATGATTAAGATTATGTACGTTTCTTGTAATGAAGTCCTCATCGTAAATACTAGCATATGATTGTACTGACTTTTCTTTTAAAAAATCCACTTGATTTATTTTTTTCCATTTGTTTGCCTCCATTTCTATAGAAAATGTGTTGTTCTGTCGTGCTCTTGAATAAGATCCATTAAACTTGCGTAAATCAATGTATTCTTCAAGGAGTTTTATACAGTACTTATGAAGTAGATTTATTGCCATTATAAATCATATCGTCAGACAACATCCTCAAGTGCTTCATAAGAGTTGTTATAAGCAAGAATATTCTCAAGTAAAACGAAGTTTTATTTGTGTTCTCCAAGGGATTCTCTAGGATATTATAAAACCGCAACTTACATAAAACCAATATTACTTAATCAAAACCGCCTTAAGTGCATGTTATATTTTCAATTCTTATCGAAATCAACTATAAAACCTAAATAAATCAAATTAGTTTTGGGAATGTTACTTGGGTAGACACAACCTGCTCTTTGCCTCTATTTTCCAAGCGGATTTTTTTTTCGCAAAATAGAATGTTTTTACTGCAAATGCCTTTATTTACCTTTCATGTGTACCACAAGATTTGATAAAGAGTAACAAATTGTTGAGATATTGTTGAAAATCTAACACTACTTCTTGACCCCAAACTTGTACTACGGATTATAAACTTGGCCTTAAAGGGTGTCCACGATGAAATTGCCACACTATGAAATTGCTCTAACTTTTTAACCGTTGGGTAGAATTTAATGAAAATTTGGGTGGATTTAGTTCATAGTGCATTATTTACATCCTGCAAGTTTCAAAGGCCCCTAATCGCGACGAGAAGCAGAACAAGTCCGCCAAAACCCGTGCCAGGAAGTTGTACCTCAACATGCTGACGAAAGTTGAATGCTGCATCATGAACGACGAAACATATGTGAAGGCCGACTTCAAACAGATCCCCGGCAACCTGTTTTTCACGGCCAAGGATAAGTTCAGCGTTCCGGAGCATGTCCGCACTCAGAAGATGTCCAAATTTGCGAAGAAATTCCTGGTTTGGCAAGCCATCTGCACGTGCGGGAAGCGGAGTGCACCTTTCGTGACCCAGGACACGATGAACGGACAGGTGTACATAAAAGAGTGCCTCCAGAAGCGGCTGCTTCCTCTCCTGAAGGCCCACAACGTCCCAACAATCTTCTGGCCGGATTTGGCCTCATGCCACTACTCCAAGGACGTGCTGAAGTGGTATGCGGACAATAAGGTCAATTTCGTGCCGAAAATGTTCAACCCTCCCAACACTCCGGAGCTCCGCCCCATCGAGAAGTACTGGGCGATTATGAAGCAGCACCTTCTTAAACGATCTAAGGTAGTGAAGACAGTCGAGGAACTGAAGAAAGTATGGGTTTACATGCAAAAAACGGTTGATTCACAGGTTGTGCAGAATCTTATGGGCGGGGTTAAGGCCAAGGTGCGGGCATTTGCGTATGGACTGTAAATAAAATACGAGTAAAATGGTAAAATGAAGTTTAATAGTTATTCCTCAATCCCTGAAAATGGATCGGATGAAAACTCGAATTTTGCGAATCAATTTTGTGTGTGGCAATTTCATCGTGGACACCCTTTATGCATTGAAACCCCATTGAAGCGTCTTTGAATTTACTTCGGCCTGTCGGATGAAAATACAAATTGATTCGGTCGGAGCGTTTTTTGTTTTGTTTTTGAAAATAATGGGTGCAAACATTCATATCACACGTTCTTATTGACTTAGTTCGGTAGCTTTTAAACTAAAGTATCATACCAAAGGCGCAATTCTGGATCAACAATAGAAAAGGGCCCATTCCTCACAAATCGAAGGCCGCCCACACAAACCAACACCGACATCGTGTAGGTGGAAGTTTCCCCTTTCCGATGATGGTGTTGGTTTGCGTGGGTGGCCTTCACTTTGTGAGTAAAGGGCTTACAAATGCTGATGGGGCCTTTTCTATTGTTGATCCACAATTGACTTGTTTACGCCGAAATCGTGGGTTTATATGATGTTCTCCGCTCGATAGGCCCAAAATCGACGATTAGGCCGAAGTAGTGCCCTACCCTACTTCTACAAAACTAGGACAATAAACTATATCGAGAAAGAGCGGAACAAGAACGAATTAGAGGCCTAGCGCCTGGCGTGGTGGAAAGGGAAGTTACGGGCACGTAAGAAAGCGGAAGCCGAAAGCTCATGTCTCCTGCCAATAAAAGTAAGAACTCATAAATAATGTTTTTTATGCATACATTATTATTATTATAAAATTATTTACTGGCTGTCGGCTCCGTGGAATCTATTTGAGCCTTAATAAATTAACTAATTGAATAAAAATATTCATAAAGCATTTTTGTAACCAGATTTGTGGATAGCCATGCATCAAGAAATGTTTTTGGACGGGCATTGTACACCCACCTTTTTATAAATGGCTAATTTTGCATTCATCTTTGTTGTAAATCAACGTAAACAAACATTTCGTGTGAAATTAAGTGTTCCGAAACCGAAACATACGCACCTCGGTAATATACTTTTCTAGCATGCCTCGTTATCAGGGAAGGAATGGAAAAGGCTTCGCTATTTTTACTTTTTTGATAAACGAAAGACAAATACTTGGTCAGCGATCCACAAAACTTTTCCACTTTCCGGTGCCTGCGACCCGGCTAGAATGTACACACTTTTTATCAGTTTGAAGAAAAAAAACCCGAAAATATTTATAGCTGTCAAGATTTCACCAGTTCAAGTTTTCCACTCTTTCCGAGCACTTTCATGTTCATTTTAAAAAGCAATCCACCCACCCTTCGCTGAACTCGGTCTCTAAGAGGTACTATATGGTGGTATGTTGTTATACTAATTTAGGGGCGGCATCGCATCGAGTTGCATTGCTTTGCGTTTAACCGTTGCCTTTCGCTGGAGGACGGAGGGAAATTTCTGCTCACTTCATGAGCTATTGCTGCTCTTACAGACGACGGAGTATTTTGTGTTGACGCTGCGCTCTAGTACCGTGCCTTGGTTCGGAAAGACGAAAACAGAGTAAAGACCTAGGAGAGCTCCTTGAAAGTGGTGATGAAATTTTAAAAGTATTTACTCTGCTTCCGCTTCCATCAGTGCTCCAGTCTTCAGTGCTTCCGTCGTCGTCTTCGTCGTCATCTTTGGGAGAAAGTTGTTCGTTTTTTCGTATCCATTCAGTAAGCTCTCTGTTTGGCTTCCGGTTTCCTATTTATTAGCAAGTTCTTAAACTTGTGCTGTTTGTTGCGTTGCTCTTTCACTAATGGAGTTTGCGATGTAAAGAGTTGAATTTTAAAAAGGCAAAAACTTTCCAGTTGATGAAGATGAAAAGTGTGTGTTTTTTTTGGGAATAAGCAAGTGCGTTTGCTACTTTAGAGGGTTATATCTGGTGCAATAATGGGAAAGAGTGTGGAAATTCAAGTTGCCAATCACTATAGACAGAAAGTATTGCGTACAGATGAGTTTGTTGAAGCCTAAAATGTTTCATAAATGAGAAAAAGAACTCTTGTTTAATCAAAAAGCTATGAGTGGGTTGTATCCAAAACAAGGTCGCAGTACTGATGTAGAACTAAGAGATTTTTTATGTTGCTGATTACTAAAATTGGTTTTGATACGTAAATTTATTTCCCAAATCATCAAAGTTTCATTTCACAAATCACATTTTCGAAAATAGCCGCCAAATGACGAATCGGACTTGACCTTCTCCGATTTGCATAACACATTGCAAAATTCTAAATACAGCTGGAATTAGGACATCTCTCCATGATTTCTTCGAATTCAAGGTACGCCCACGCAACCATCGAATAAGTGTGGATTTCCCCTAGCCGCAGGTGATGTTAATTTGCGTAGGGGAGCTTTGACTTTCTAGAAATCATCTAAAGAAGTCATTTTTTTTTTACAAAACCTGTTACCTCAGTGTTCACTCGGTTGTCGACAATAGCAGATCACTCTCGATGTGTGCCACGCGATCGTCTGTTTTCTCGGCAGCAACCATTGTGTGGTCCTCCTCATTGTTCTTCATCAGCAACCGTTTCGTGATGAGTGTGTGAGTGTTGACCACTTTTTGCGTCCATTGCTGCAATGGAAGTGCTTTGCCCCACGATGGCATAACTGCCATACAATGAAACCACTGGAAGCGGCTCCAGTTCTGATGGAGGAGGCTTTTTGGATAGCGTAAGATAAAGTGTTTATTGTGTTGTACCTTTTGACTATAGTTTTAAGATGTATTGTATAGTGACCAAGAATCCTCGGCTCTGCAAAGTTGATTCATTTGAGCCTTATCAAATAAATCAATAAATAACTAAAACCTGTTACCTGAATTGTGTGTTAGTAATCATTCGCATTTTTACAAAAATTCAGCGTATTTGGATCTTGTAGTTTTTTTTTTCAAAATGGCATCTTTGTTATTTTTCAATACATTATAGCACAAAAACTTCATTTCTGATCTAAATGACGTCTGACACAAAGTTGTAGACAAAAAATAAGTCTTTCTGGGAAAAAAAAATATTCATAGTACTGAGAATACATGAGGCTCACTCTACTGGCTCAACCAAGAATCCCTGGTAACTAGCTCAGTAGCATGAGACCCGTAAACTATGTCACAGGGCCGGCATGCTACTGGGTAATTTGGAAGGGCTATGCGGAACAAGATGTGCAGAAACTGTGGGATTTCTATAGCGACGTTGAAATGAATTAAAAGCGTAAGTGTGGGTGTAAAAAGTCTCAATATTTTTTAACCGGAATAATGGCGCGGATTTTGAGGTTTTATTGGGCTATTGTCGGGTGTGTTCTATGGCTTTCTGCTGTACATACCGGTGGTATTTGCTGGACGATGGCGAGCGCTCGCGGATGGTGCTTCTGTTGAGGCCGATGTTGTTTGATCGCGATGGTGGTCCGTGACTTGATCAGTCCGTCGACAATGGTGGATCGGTGGCTACGGCTGGTGTGGAAGATGACGCTGTTGTCACGACAATGGCGGATTGGAGGCTCGTTTGCGCGTTGCGATGTCGGTTCGCAGCCAGGGAATGTAGCGATCCCAGTGTAGCTACCGAAGTAGCCTTTTCTGTGTCAACGGCGTCTCCCTTCTGTGTGGTGCATATCTTGTATTAAAGTTACAGTGTGTTATGTGCTGAACGTTCAGGTAATCATCCTGTGCATGGGTGCTCATCGTGAGTGTCAGAATAGGTACCTCGTCCTAGAGTCAGCCATTTTCTCTTCCTCTTTCGCCAGCCAGCTTTCGACGAGGTAAGACGTGTTTGCAGGACGATTGCTGGGTGATTCCTTTCTGGAGGATATCCAGAATTTCACACCTTCGTTGGCGAATATCGGCTGACACTGACAAGGCCACCTTGGTCGAGTCGAGAAGGGTCTTCCTTCTTATCGATTAGGACTTCCAAGTCCGAGGATGCTCTCCATTCTGGCGATTATCAAGCCGGAGAGTGGAAGGTCCTTGATTTTTAGACCAAGAAAGTCGAGACTGAATTGGTCAAAACGTGCCGGTCGTGAGAATCGTGGAACAAACAAAGTCTTGAACGAACACCAGGAACAGAAAAAGGTCATTCACTGCACTTTGAGGCACTTTGTTCGGTTCACTTTAGTACTTTAGACATAATATTCACTCACGTCTTGTAGGCATGGATGCCAGTTTACCAAAACTGACACTCAAAAGACACTACAGTTTCCTAAAACAATATGCACAAAATAAATCCAAGGGCATTGTAACTAATCGGTCACAGTATTTTTTTTTGTAATTTTGAGTACAGATTTAAAAAAAGTGTTAAAACTCAAATTTCTCATAAAGTATATCTCTTAGGTTTTTTTTTTAGGAAAACCTAAAAAAAAATGTAAACTTTTGGAATACTTTACACTATGGACACTTGAAAATTTACAAAAATCGTAGAACAAGAACTTTTGGTCAATTTTTTTTTAACTTTTTGCTAGTACGGGTTTTTATGTGATTTATATACAGGAAACAATATTTGAGTCATTATTTATCGTTATGCGTGCAAAATATGCTTTAAAAAGCATGTTAACAAGAAGTTTAAAAATATGAACAAAAGTTGATGTTTTACGATTTTTGTCGATTTTCAAGTGCCTATGACTTTGAGTACTTCAAAACTCTGCATTTTTAAGAGCTTTGTTTTAAAAGCAAGTTCTAAATATTTAAACTATACTTTTTTAGTCATTAAAGATTTCAGTCACTTTTTTTAAATTTTTACTCAGAATTACTAAAAAAAAATACCATCTACAAATTTTCCCAGAGAGACTTAAAAGATTTCTTAAAAACTTTGTTTCAGACGTAATTTTGATCAGAGGTGACGGTTTCGCGCTACAATTTATTGAAAAATATCAAAGACGTCATTGTGAATACAATTACAATGTCCAAAAGTGCCAAACTTTAACATAATGTGAATTATTGCCCATAACACACAAATATGCAAAGTTTTATGCAAATCGGAGGAATTAGAAAAAAAATAATATTATTTTTTGTCCTATTCTGTCTGGGCTTAGAACTAATTTAATAAAAAAATCAAAATCTCAAATACAAAAAAATACACTAGTGGAAATTAATATAAAGACACTTTAAAAAGCATGGCTCCTCCCAAACATAAGAATCAGAGGAATTCATAATCATGAGTGTTTGTAAGCCACATTATAATCATACAATATGAGCCTGAGAAAGAACCTATTGCATCATGTACGTAGGAGACATAGATGGAAATGTGATTTTCTCCTTCGTATGGGAGATTGGTCATTTTCGGAACATTATTTAGCATGTTAACAATAATTGTGGCACCACAATAATCAAAGAGTTAATTCAAATAATCATTAACTTGCATTCTTGAAAAGTTTTAAGCACATCCAATAGCTAGAAGTTCTCGAAAATCACGAAAATCATTGGTTGATCAGCGATGAACAATTAGGAGATACATACGCAACCTGAGGTAAAAAGCTGTGATTGGCGCAACATACTGAGTATTTATCTATTAGGGTTAATTACCCCATTTCCGGTCTATTAAGCACAACCCGCACTTAGTCTTTCTTAATCTAGTTCAGTTTAGTACCAAACAGAATGTTATTATTACTGATGGCTTCCAAATTTATTTACCTTTCTGTACGTACCGTAAGATTTGAAAACGAGAAACCAATCGTTGAGATATTGTCAAAAGTCCAACACTGCTTCTTGACGCCAAACTCGGCCTACGGATTTTAAACTCGGCCTAACGCATTGAAACGCAATTAAAACGCCAATGAATTCACTTCGACCTATTGGATGAAGATAAAAATTGATTTGTTCGGAGCGCTTCTTTGGATTTTGGGAATAATGGGTGCAAACCTTCATATCACGCGTTCTCATTTACTTCGTTCGGTAGCTTATTAACTAAAGTATCGTACCAATCGCATAATTCACTTGTTAACTCTGAAATCATAGATCTATTTGAAGTTTTCTGCTCGATAGGCCCAAAATGGGCGATTAGGCCGAAGTAGTTCTTTACCCTACTTTCCCCAAAAGGAATGTGCCATCTCCCTTGAATTTCACGTCTTTAAATCATACGGAGGCATCGGTACAATTGACCCAAACAGGTAATGAGCATTCTCTAATAAACTAAATAGGCAGCATTCTGATGCTTCCAAGCTTCCATTTATTAACGTCCTTTAAACAAACCACCTTGAAGAGGTGGATAATGTTCATTCAGGACGGCCAAATCACAACCAGCACCAAGCCGATTAGCATCCCCAGGTAGCGATAATCACGGGCTACTTATGTCGTTTTCGTTTTTACTACACTATACCGATGTAGTGCAAGCAGCAATAAGCGCGAGTCATTGACGGCTCATCATCATTTGTTTGTAAACAAAGGTACAACCGATAGCTACACCCTAAAATTTGTCGGTGTTCGGCGGTGTAGCACCGGTGTAGCTACACCGCAAAAACGAAAACGACATTAGAGTTGGCTAAAACCTGTATATTTGCTCTGTAATCATCATCACTGACACTAGCGACTTACAAACAATAGTGCATTAGTGACGACGATGTTCCCCCGTTCTTGTTCACATTACTGACGGCAAATATCACCGCCAGAAACCCCACCGGGCACCGCGTGGAGGTAAGAATCGGAGTTCAGGTGCACAGAGGTGGCAGAGCCCGACACCCATTGATAAGCGTTCCTATGCACCTGCTTTACCCAGCCAGCATTCTAATGGACCTGATATAGTTTGTTGGAGATACAGAGCCGCACCACGAAACATCTGAGAGGATACAATTGAACTCCGTCGGTTATACTACAGATAGACGACAAACCAACCTAAACCAGCCGATCTTAACCAGTCTACCTGAGCCATCGACAGAACGATGACTCACGATCTTCTAGTTCACAACGTGGAGGTACAAAGGCCTTCGAAAGGTAAAGATCATGCCACTACATATATGGAACGATAGGTCAACGTTGTGTCACTCGACACAGGGCCTTTAATTCCAGATCTAGGTCCTTGGCAGTCCAGTACGGCGGGGCAAAACTCAAAGCATCTACGCATCCCGAACGGTAGCCTGTAGTGAACCAATCTTCTGTCGGTATGTTCTCTTCCAGGCTGCCTAGTGCAGCGGTGCAACGTACAGTGCAAGTACAGGATCTGTGTAGACGACGCGGCAGTAGCAGTAAGACGGTGCGCGTGCTACAGTACTACATCGGCACAGTGAGTGGCGCGACAAGAGTCAGCGCACCCTGCAACTGTTTTTTTTTTTATTATTGACAGCCTGACCCGTTTTGGATTTCGTTGACGTTACGTTCTTTGCAAAATAATTCCTCCACTTCATCTATTAAAAGAAAAATATTTATTTCTTCACAGATTTTTTTTTTTGAAAATTGTAAAATATCACTTCTCTTGGAATTCATAACATCAGACAAATTTGCAGAACTTCAGGAAAGTTCATAGACAGAACATCAGGAAACCCAAGTGGCCAACAAGCCCGCTAATTCGCCTTTTTGCAATATAAGGCTAATATACGGTTAATCATTAGCGCTGGCACTCTGCCTCCCGGACGGTAATACGTGTGTGATTGGTGGTTTTCTTGCTTTCAGAGAAGTTTTAGAATCGAGAAAGAAAACATGATTCATCATGTTTGCAAGCAACAGAAGATTTGACGCTATCTGCGTTGTTTGATTTTTTCTCCCGGACCAGAAATTTGTGGCATCGCGAGGGATAATGTTAATTTTAGTTTATTTACGCGGTGATGATGTTGGTTCACTCGCAACTATTTAAAAAAAAATAGGTGTTTTCGATCTAAAGTGTACCAAAAATGCTCCTAAACGTGTTTCGCAGTTGGGTGTGGTGAAATTCGTGCATTCCCGGTTCATTGTGGAAATTCCGTATCACAAAATTGCCCACCGATTCCTTTTTTGCCGTTCGACGACGACGGGTGTGCTTTCGCGAGAGTGACGTTTATTGGATCCGTTTCTTTGCACGGATGTTTTTTTTTTTGTAGCTAGCGTAAGTGTGCCTGCGATTGCCTCCCGGGAGGCCAGTTCACCGTGTTCGGATGTCACGCTTTCATCGTGTAGTTGTATCGAGAGTCTCGTCACCGTGTGCGAGTTTGAACACGGGTTCGGTTGGGAAATTAGCCGGGCAAAGTGCTGATAATGTGTCCGTCGCAAGTTTTGGTGGTCGAAGTTACCGTGAATCAGCAAGTTTACGGCTTACAAAAGTGATCGTCTGCTGGTCAGTGTAATGCCGGGGATACTCTTGTATGGCAAACTTTAAACATGAGCATTATTTATATAAAAAATCATGAACACATCCCTGGTTTGGTTCTGATTTCGGCGTTGGTCGCGAGTTGATTCGGCCGGTGAGGAGCTGGCATCGCGAGTGATTGGTGATGGAAAGTGGATGCAGTCCTTTTTTTCTCTGCTGAATCCCTCTAGAGTGTATTTTGTGGTTGATGGGGTTTGCTCTGCTGTGTGAGATCCGAAAGGCGGGAGTGCTGTTTTTAACACCGGTTGAAGAAGTAGCGGTGGATTCCTTTGCAACATATCTGGTGAGATCTTTCCTTTCCTTTACTCCAGGGCTGAAAGTCTCCTTAATAAAGATATAAAAAAAAATCTTTCCTTTATTTTTCTCGTAATCCCATTTTATTGTTAGTCATGTTAGTTATACATCACACTTTACACTTTAAATTTACATCCTTACATTATTAGTAATTAGAGACAAAAATATATATTTGCTTAACATAACCTTGACATTTCAGTGTTACATCCACTTGATATTGTGAGCTGAGGAAACCTAGAGCTGCATCTTATTATATGTAAAATAATTATTGTTTTCATTGCAGAATATCAACTATTTTATCTATATAAATTTATATTCATTATTTCATATTTAATTTTTGATATATTTCATGTCTCCATTACATATATTTTCATTATATAAATAAATACTGGGTTGGGAGGGAGCATCAGGGTATCATTTGACCTGGGACTGGACGATGGAGTGGTATGACAACCGGAGTCTAGGAGGGAATAAACACTATCATTTTCTTTATCCTACCGATTCGATTGTGGTGGTGTGAATTCTACTTCAACAGTTTCAGTGAGATCAACGCGCCCTTCTTTACAAACCATCCTGTAGGAAGCTTAATAAGTATTGCGAATTGTGTTATTCGATTTGTTGGATCGTATCGTTGGAAGGAGATTCTTAAATTCCCGTGGATTTCGTGTAAGTGTCTCTGCTTACGGGTCCGCACCTCCGTTTTTGGCCCTTCATACAGCGATATTGTGAATTCAGATCGGTAGCTCAAATTGATCTTGCTATTAAGTGGAGCTGCATACAAGACAAGATCTTTGAAGGGATGGTGGCTACCTTACATACACATACACATAAGGCTAATATACGGCTAATATAAATCTTAGCATGCCCTATGCTAGCCGTGTATTAGCCTAGAAGCGGACTCACTTGCAAAGGTGGGCGCTATGTAAGGCGGTATTTTCGATCGACAGATCGCCTTCAACGAATTTTTCTTCATTTATCGTCAACTTTTTTTTTTTTTTTATTATAGTCAAGAGTGTTATTGGGTCATTCGTGACTTGTCCTGGGGTGAGATTTGAACTCGTGACATTGGCGTGAGAGGTATGGATGTTAACCACTACGCCGGGGTCGCCCCCCCCCCCGTGTTTGGGACGAGTGTACCCCATTAGGCATAAATACGTTAGGCATAATATACGTAAGGCATAATGGACGTTAGGCATAAAATACCTTGCTGCTGTGCAACTCTAGAAACCTCTTTCGAGCATTGTAAACAATGCTTAAATTAGGCTAAGCTTTATACAAACGTTGTTTATTAAATAAGCACAGTTTGGAATCCATTATTTATCATATCATAAGTGACGTAGCTACATATTTACTTTTTTTCCTTGATTTGTTTTCCGTGCTGTGCTCCAATGCTACCAACGCCAGGGAGGCAGCTCCCACACCTGAATCCTACCTATCGACCCATCGACTCATGAACCGGAGACCAACGGTTTTACTTCCCTTCCGAAGGAAAGCGTGATCAGAGATGTTAGGTTGGTAGGTAGCAATAGTGGTAAAGTAATCTGGTTAAAAAACTCTGCATAATTTTAAACTACCTCTTGAAATCAATCCCCTCTTGAATTTAAAAATAATCACATATTTGTTGTAATATATTCCTACACACATATTGAAATTGTCAAAGGTGAAAAGGTTTTCCTCAAAGAATAACTCATGAAATAAAGAATGGTAAATTTTGTGATTTTTCATTCAATTACAAAAAAAAAACAGCTTAAGTTGAATAAAAGATGATGCCAAAGAACAGCTCATGAAATGAAGAATGATGAATTCCACGGTTTTTCATTCAATAAAAAAAAAACAAACACACTTAGAAATTATCGCCGACTTCGGTAATTTTTACCAAAAACTGAACAGATGAACTTTCCGGTAAATTTTATGCAATTCAATTCAACTGCTTTTCAGCTACTTTGAAACTAAATCTTCACTAAAATGACAAGATTTGATCATTTAAACAAGGTTGAACATGTTTTGATATTATTTCCAAATTCAATGGGCATTAAAATGAAGGTTAAAGTTTTACCGAACGTTCAGCTGTTCTGATTTTGGTAAAATTTACCAAACACGGAAACAAAATCTTAGTGTGTACCTGTTTCTAGTCTAGTCTAGTCTAGTCTACACATACACAGCCAGTACTTGAAAGAATCCTGGAAAATGATAGAAATACATCTATCATTTTTCTTGTCATTATTAATGCCTGCTGCACATCAAGGATGTGAAACAAACAATAATGCGGCCAGGCCTACTGTGTAGCGTTTAGTTAATTTTTATGGAAGTGAATGTTTACCATGTCTACTTAATAAGTATAGACAGTGGTTAACATTTAATCCACAGGTAATCAAAGAGCGGGGACATACCGTACCAACCGCTCCGTATGCAGGATTTGAAATTAGGCTATATAAATCGTTGGGAGTGACAGAGCTAAGAAAGTTAATGTACACTCCTTGGTTGTCCGATCTCCTGGGATGGAACACAGGTATTTTCCCCTTGTGTTCGAGTGTACAGTCCTCCCTCCGTACAAGCGTGGACGGCACCGCCAACCCACTGCGATCCCTCAATCGATCCAGCCGACCTCAGTCGAAGGACAACAGAGAGCGGTGTGCGGATGTAACCTATACGGAGGGAATGCTGTATTCGCCTAGGTTATAGCGCCCTTGCTCGCTATTCGTTATTCGCTGTCTACAATGAGAAGAAACAATGCATGAACTTACAACACGCCCCGCATACACGTAGTACCGATATAAAATGTATATTGGTACTGCGTGTACACTTCCATCATCAAAGCAATTCCTGCTTTGTAGATGGCACGATGTCTCCTAAAAAAATAGGATGTCTAAAATCCATAGGATGAAAGTTAAGTCTCATCCGAATCAAATGATTCCAAATGCTACGGATTCATAGAAATTAAGTTTAAATAGATAAAAGTAAAAAAAGGAACAATCTCACCAAATCAGTCCAAGTGAATCCTTTGCAAGCAGCTCTGTCACGTTTGGTGTAGTAGTTCCGATCATAGACCCGCCTTACGAGGATCAATCCTCAGGTTTAATATAGTCAATTGCTCCTTGACGCAAACACGAAGCAACCGCTCATAAAATCATACAACGCATAAATAAACTGAACTTAAAAACTATCACTCGCGATGCCACAAATTTCTGGAGCGGGAGCATAAGCGAAATCTAATTACAACTTCACAAAAGTCGAGAAAAAACGGAGCAAAAATTGACGGCTGAAAATTTTCCATGTCATCACAAAATCTTAGTGTGTACCTGTTTCCACGATTTACTCCCATACTTTTCGATACAACGATTCTGTTTTTGTTGTCATCATAATGAAAACTAGCGGAGGCGACTGCTGATGTGAGGGAGCGATACTTCCATGAACAGTGACGAGTTACCGAAACAAACAAGGAACTGTGGCAAACGAATCATCTGCAACCCAATACTTTGCCTGTCCAAGACGTCGCAAGTTTTCATGAGTCCCAAAAATTAAGGCACTTTCATTATTATCACCGATGTCAGCAATCAATAGACGGTCCCCATTATCCCTCCTTTGAGCCTGTACAAATAAATTAATAAATAAAAAAACAAAATCATCCTCCTGGAATTCATCGGGTAGAT